ATTCTTATTTCTTATTTCAACCATTGCGTATATTAGCTGCGACAGATCAATAAAGATGCTATGACCGAAAAAATTTGCTTGACAAATGGCTGTTGATATTTGATAGGCCAAATTCAGGTGTACGAGCTGACGTATAACTAACTGACCTGCATAAGATAACGAAAAAAAAAAAAAGATTTTAAGACAGGATTGTTTTAAATATAGAAATCTTCCAACTTTTGGGACAATATGGTCTGATAAAGAATAAATTTATATACATGTTTAAGCCAGAATGATTTAAAATTTAAATATGACTTCCCTACGACTTTAAAGGCTGGCTTTCAGCATATTTAGATCTTTTCCACGTCCAACAGAGTAAATTAATCAATTAAACTAGATAAAAGCCTCTTATTTAGGTTTGTTCCAACAGGAATATGTCTAAAATCTGAAGGACTACTGCCTGGATCACTACAATGCTCTAGAAGACCAACCAGACTTACCCAACACCTGACCAACCACAATTCGTCCGTTCTCTCCTACCACGGCGGCCCTGGCGTTCCTCTCGTTGGAGTACTGGACGAAGGCGAAGCCCTTGTGGATGGAGCAGCCGACGATCTTGCCGTACTTGGAGAAGATGGCCTCAACGTCCGCTTTGGTGACCAGCAGGGTGTTGAGGTTGCCGATGAAGACTCGGGAGTTCAGGGAGTGGGGATCAGTCTTGTTGGTCACATTGCTGCTCGCCATCAAGCTGGAAGAGGAGGGCGACGTGGACCACCTGGCAAAAGCACATAAAATGTTGATTAGGATGTCTAGATACGGTATAGCTATACATCGTGATGTCACATAGAAAGCAGAAGATATTTCTGGTACTTGGATATTTGGGGTATTCCAACCGCTAATTTTATGTTCCCTCTTGTGGAAAACTAAACTTGAAAACCAGGTTTACCAACCAGGCCGAGATACACGAAGCGTTATACAGTGTGGGAAACTGCTTTAGACATCGGCCAGATCTGGCCGGACCAATCACAGCACTGGAGACGGAACTGGAGGCGATGTGTGACTCTCAGTGCCAGAATTACCCATAATGCAGCAGCACTTTTCTGCTAGCACAAAAATCAGCTGGTAACTGAAATAGAGCCATGCTTCAATGACAGTTAAGAATCTAACAGAGGATATCTTACATCCTCAGATTTTTTAGGCAGAACTGGCAGAAATCGTTTCCTGGAGAATTTCCTCAAAGGCTGGACATGTTTCACAGACTGCAAAGTTACAAAATAGAGGGTGTTGCTTGGAGTTTTTATGTGAAATTAGTAGTAATCAAACTGATCCAGATAGTCCCGCCTTTGAAATCGAGCTCTATGCCATTTATACGTGGTATCAGGCAGGCTGGCCGGGCTAACTGGCTGTTAAACATCAATAATATCTGACATTTTGACCTTAAATTTCCCAGTTTATTATTCTAAAATTGTTCCCAGCATAAAGTATGTTCTTACACGAGGACTGTGTTTTGATGCTACAGCACTAAAAGCAGGGGCTTTTAGTGCTGTAGCCGTTCCATTGCCGTTGCCATCGTTTTGTATACACTCTGTTGATACAAAACCACAATTAAAAGCTGTCTAAGTCTGTGTAGTGGAAGCGGATCATAAAGCAGCCGACAGTCACTCAGTGGTGTCTTTATGGGATTGGTGGAGGGCCGTCTGTTGGAGAAAAGATAATCCCAAAGGGATCTTAAAAGTGTGATACGTGGTACACTTTCTTAACATGTTGGTATAAGCTCAGATAAAAGGTTAATAAAAGATCAAATAATTAACTGCTAATAGGTACACCGTGTGTTGTAGACTGCAGCTTTGGACCGGGAGCAGTTAAACAACTAAAAAGGCTGTAAAGGTAGTCTTTAAAGGTGGAATTTGTTTTCACACACCAGATTGTTGACTTTTTACAATGCAAAGGTTGCTATCCTGCTTGATGTTTTGGTAACCTTTGGTAAGTTTGGCCAGTCTAGCGGTGGGGAAGGGATTAAACGCGCATCATCTGCACAGGTTTAAATCCACACACGTCTGCCTCTTCTGTCTAATCCCATTTCCTGTCTGCCTATTTTCAAAACTTGCCTAAATAAAAGCAACTACAGCCTAAAAATTTGCAAATAGAAAAAATAAATAAAACTGTGGTAAGTTTAAAGCCCAAAACTCCTGTGGATCTTGATAGATTGACTTTTATCAGATAGAAAGAGCTTTAGCAACATCAGATATGATGACAACGGGGAAAGGATAAAAGACTTAGAAAAGGATTGCTTGCAAACACTAGTGTCCAAATTTATTTATATAGGAATTCAGTTTTCCCCATATGGGATGGATCCTTCTTTAAGAAGTCACCCAATGTTAATAAAGAAGAAAGGATGGATATTATATCAGCTTTAACCTCTGATGGTTTTATTCACATTTTAAACATACAAGTCTTGCTCCAATAAGTAAAACCATGCTGATTTTAATAAGTAATGGTCATTATCTCCATCTTGTTTCTGTTAGTGGAAGTGTCTCACACAAATTAAAAGTACATTGCTTATAAACAGTGAAGCAGAATACCTTTCAACAGGTGCAGAAGTCTGACTTTTTAGTTCAGGAGCTCCATCAGGCTTGTTTATCTGTTTTATTTATCCATATATATTCAAAATAAATGTCATGATTGCCATTTTTTAATCATTTTTATGTATTATCACTTTTTTTCCAATTGCAATTTTTTTTTAATACTGGCAGTTGTTTTTTTTTTTCTTTTTGGGAAGGGTATGTCTAATTTCAAGCACAACATAGAAACCATCCAGAGAGAATTAAGCAGTAAATGTCCAGTTCAGACCCAGAGAGTTGGGATTATCATTTAGCAGCATTTATAATGTTGGACACAAGTAAAGGCTTTGATTTTATATTGGTGGATTACAGAAAAAAAGCCTAAAAAGAAATATTATAAGATATGAGTCAATTTATCAGACAACAAATTCTTATTTACTTTTTTTAGACCTTTAAATAAACCTTACATGGTGCACTTTCACTTTTTTAGTTTAATAAAGCTTATCTAGTTAAAATATTTAATAATCGGATTATTTATTTAGTATTGGTAATTTATACTTAGAATTAATACTGAGTGTACTTAGTTTATTGCTGCATTGCTTAAAGGTAACTCATAGACAGATAAATCTAATGATTGATAAGCTCTAGAACAGACATGGTGGCTCATAGCTCCCTTAGACGACTATAAAATCTTTTCTTTAAAGTTCTTTTTAAGTATGATTTAAAAATTGCTTCAGTCATATTGACATACTGTTTTTATCTTCTAAATGTTATCTTAAACCAAATAAAAAAAAATACTGATTTGTTACAGCTGAATTGATCTGTTTTAAGTTCTACTTCCGATTTTAATAAAACTGATCATTTTCATTAGAAAAAAAAAAGTCAAAAATATGCTGGAATTATTTATATACTTTGATATCCCACATAATTATATTATTTAATATTTTTGTAGATATTTAATAAGTAACTAATCACTTCAGGGTTATTTAGGATTTTACCAATTTTAGTCCAAAAATACAAATTTTCATTTGGAACAACAAACAATTTTAATTAAACTAAATGATGAGGAAAATCCACTTAATTCAGGGTAGAGACACAAGCAGCTCATTGCTTCTGTGGCTCTATTAATATATTTTAAATGCTTAAGTATTAACCTGTTGTTTTTTTGCTTTTTTTTTTTAGTTCTACGCTTTCTGCGTCCCCATCTAAAACACGCCGTCCCTCCGAGTAAATACGGTCTAGAAACACCGCTGTTTGGAGTTATTGTCACATTTGCTGCAAAGTTATGTAAGACTGCAGGGATGGGATCTCATTATAACGGTACAGAGGGAGGCTGCAGAACTGAATCACCGTGGTTCCTAGAATCCTTCTGACCGGATTAAACGTGTGTGACCACATTTTTTATGCAGACAGAAACCGTTTTCATTTGAAATAAACTAAAACAGCTGCACTCTTGCAGGGACAGATTCCACTTTTCAGTTCTGCAGATAGATACATTACATGCATGCAGCAGGTCATCTGGCCAAAGCTGCACTGCAGCATTTAAACCCAAACGTCTCTGTAAGCTGGAGACACACGGACGGACAGACAGACAGAGCGTCTATCTCTTCTCTTCCCCTCCTAACTGATCAGTTTCTGCAAGAACGGAGAAATAGTAGAAATATTTAGTTTTTAATGAGGTTCTGTTCAGTCCAAGTTGCTTCACCTTTGATGGACAGACGTCATATTTGGATGAGTTTTTAGAAAAGGAAATAAATGATAATCACAGGGATACTGCAGCCTATGGTTGCTGGATGGATCCTTTTCAGTTAAGTTTTTTTTTCCTTTGTTTAAAACTAATAAAGCTAAAAATGACAGAAACACAAACTAGATTTTAAAACTAGACAAATTGTGCAGTGAGCTGTTCCAAACGAAATTTCCTTTTGTTTTCCACTTGTGTGAACAAAATGATAAAATCTGTCTATAGTCTGATTTTCCTCTCATCCACCTGCCTTATATCATCTATTCCCTGAAACCCGACCCTGCATAGTAACGCTCTGATTTAGAGAGAAGCTGATTTATTTTCTGTCTCCATGTGTCGGTGATATGAGCGTACTGTTGCTAACTGGCCTCAGATTGGAGCAACATGATGGCCGGAGAAGCACGGCGGGCACAGATGTGGCACATCTGTGCCGCTTATGGCCACCGGGCAGGTGTCTGTGTTCCAGCAACAGGAGGTCAGATCAAACGGAGGTGATGTTTTATCACAGGGGGAGATGAGGATTAAAACAGGAGGAGGACACAGTTATATATTTGGTGTTAAATGTTATTTTAAATCTAAATGGAGCATTTAAAACTCAGCGTAAATTTTCTCAAGTGTTAGAGACAATAATGAGAGTAAAATCTGACAGCAATGCAGTGAAAGCTTTACTCTATATGGGATCGATTACCCGCCATTTTCTTAGAGGTCGCCTTCATTTTGACACTGACTAAAATTAACTCTAAAAAATCTGACACTATTTATGGAGTATATTTTACACTCACTTGGAGTGGGACCAAACGTTACCTGGAACAGAGTTAGATTCAACTCTGTAGGTGTTAAATTAACACTTTTTCTTTTCTCCTGGGTATGAGACGGCTTGTTCTTTATGGAAACGGCAGTGATTGCTGGTACTTTCTAAACATGGTAATCAAAAGGTGCCTCAGTGTTAATATGTTTAACTAGATGTAATTCTGACTCTGGGAGCCTCTCATTCTGTTCACTAGAGATAATTTTGGCCCCAACCTGCTTCTGCTTTGATTCATTATACCATTTTTGTAGCAGAGTTATTAAACCAATCACTATCAGATTGATCATCTTTACAGCTATGGACTTTGATTTAAAATAAAAAAATATCCAAATCTATTTTATGCAGATTAAGAATGTTGTTTCATAGAAAACAAAAAATGGGAACAATCATGATGCTGGAACCCAAATAATTTAGCTCCTAATAAGGCTGTCAAACATATCAACACTCAATGGTGTGAAAGGGCATCAATACTGAAGCTGCTCTAATATTTTTAGCTGCTATTCATTTATTTCTGGATTACATTATATTAATAATACCTCTGAAAACCTTAAACTGTTTTCAAACTACGTAAGTTTTACAGGATTTATTTTGCATCTATTTGTTTATTCAGAAAACCTGATTGTGTAGAGAAATCTCCATGTTAGGTTTGACAAAGAAGAGACTTTCAAGTTCCTCAAATGATCTTTTCTGCCATTCAT